TATACTTACTATTCAGCTTATTTTGCTAGTAGGTATTAATCCAACAAATGAAAGCAGTTATTGAAAGAGTTTTCCAACAAATATTCCTAGCAGTTATATTTCTGGTAGGCAAGAAAAAGTTAAATAATCTATACCTACCAAACAGGTGAATAAATTGTATAACCATAGTGTAAGACTATCAAACAATGAAAGTGAGTTGACTCTCAGTATGCTCAATGACTTGGTATAGTATCGTGTGACTAAACTTACATAAAATCCTAGGAAATGCAAGCTACAGTGACAACCCAGAGCAGTGTTTGCTGTGGGACAGGAGTTGAGAGGGGTGAGAATAGGTGGGCTTACCAAAAGGCAAAAGACTGGAGAATGCTGAGTAGATTTATTGTCTTTTTTTTCCGGGAATTGAACTCAGGACCTTGCGCTTGACCAGGCAAGTGCTTATGCCACTGAACTATATCCAGTCCTATTGTCTTGATAAATGATGGTGTCACAAGTCACAGCTTATCACATACATTTATTTGCTTGTATCTAACACAAGGTCTTACTATGTAGTCCAGACTGGACTTAAACTTGTAGTGATCCTAATTCAGCTTTGTGAGGGCTGGGATTTACATGTATAAAATATATGTAACAGTGGTACAAAAGCTACCCTTACACATACACACACACACAAACACACACAGAGTAAAAGGCCAGAGGCCTCTGCCCAAGATCCCTTAGGAGAAGGCATCAGGATGCCTCCCTACACTAACTGTTGAATTCCAATTTGGGCAAACCTTCCACAGGCCTCTCAGGCTTCCAGAAAATACTTCGTCTGCATGCTTACTTAAGGTCATTCCCAGGATACCTGGGTGTACTTCTGGGTTTTCCCAGTGAATTTCAGGTTTACTGTACAATGGAGAGCTGAGTTTTCCATGAGTCCAGCTCCTTTTTCTTGGAACTCTGTGTGGGAAAGGAGGGAAATACGACTTTCGCCAGCCCATCTCTGCCCATGCCACCTCCTTTCCTTGAAGCATACATCCAGTTGCTGGACTGCTGTAGATTTGATCTTCCCAATCATTCTTTCCTGGAACAAACCAGCTGTAGACTTTTAGTGTGACCTGCATTTCTCCTTCACCACAGTGCTGAGCCAGGAGGACGAATCCAGTACTTTCCCAAATCTTAAAAAAAGCTTCATGTGCCAACCTAGGACTAAAGGGTGGGGTCAGACTCCATGATCTCTTCATCTTCAGAGTCTATACTTCTGGGTATTGAGGTCTTTTCTCTGCTGTGACCTTTTATGAAAATGCCTTTATTTTGGTATGTGGAGCAGGCCCATTGTGAAAACGAACGTGAGTCTTTGTGTTCCCCTATTCTCCAGGCCAAGAGCTGTCCTTCTGGGCCTCTTGGAGGAAATTTCATCACAGACCCAAGACCACAGCTGTCAAACTTAATGCAAGCCAAGTATGTAACTTCAAATTTTTAGGTATCCACATGAAAAAGTAAAATGAAACAGGTAAGATGAGGAATAAACTTTATTTAACTCAATATATCCAAAATACTATCATGTATAAAAGCTGTGAGGTATGTTACATATTTCTTGTCAAAATCCAGTGTACACACTTGATATCTCAAGTGACACTAGTCACATCTGTAATGTTCACCAAACACCATGGTCTCTTGGATACATCAGAAAACCAGCTCTATCCATTTGGTATCTATTTCCACCTTCACACCTATCTCCTTTTTAGTTGGCTTATAAAACACACAGACCCTCCCCACTGAAGTCCTAGGAGCACTGTCATCAGGGTTTGTGTTTGGGCATGAAGAAAAGGGGATGAAAAGCTGGAATAAACTGGCCTCTCTCTGACAGCCTGTTAGATTAGATTTTCTCTTGGCTTTTCCTCTCTCTGCAAGAGAAAAAAATTGCACTGGATCGATTTTCTTCTTGGTCCTCCATTTTTTAATTGGATTCATTTGGTAGGCATATTTTTCTTTTTCGTCTTTTCACTGCAACCCTTCAATTATCTTTCAGAGGCAGGTTCTCACTACATGGTGCTGGCCATCTCTGAAGTCATTAGATAGTCCAGGTTCATCCTGAACTCACAATCCTTCTGCCTCAGCCTCTGGAGTGCTGGGGGTTACAGGTGTGTACAACCAGGCCTGACTCATATCCTTAAACTAGGCTGTAGGCCGTGGCAGAGGTTACAATGGTACAATTCTTCAAGTGATATTTTATTCAAGTTGAATTTAAAGCCATCAAAATTATGATTTGTTTTGTCAGCCAAACTTACATTGTGATTTCCTTCACTTGTTATTGCATTTTATAAAACCAGACAGATACATAAAATTGCAGGTCAACTTCTTTTGTAAACATGAATGAAAACAAATAGTAAACAACATGTTATCAAAAATAAATCTTCCTCTGCATATTAAAAAAAAATAAATTTGAGGGCCAGGGAGATGATTCAGCAGCATTAAGCACCTGCTAGCAAGCATAAGGTCCTGATTTCAATCCCCAGTACTGGAAAAAAAAATTTTGTAGCAGAACACTGTGGTAGGTTTAACAATTAAAACGTCAATGTACTTATAACAGTAAGAATCACAAATGATTATCTCTCAAAAACTATAGTGAATTTTGAATTCAACCTCTCATTCAGTACAAAACTCAGCAAATGAATGGAAGAGAATTTGTCCCATTTCATCCCCAGCATCAACGAATACTATGCTAAGGGATAAAATGCCTACAACTCCCCACCTTCCTTCACATGATGTCAGGGGTGCTCAAGGTCACAACCCAGTGCATCAGTGAGTTGCAAAGAAAAGAAGCAAGAACTCAGAAAAGGGATGAGGGAAGAGACTAGCTCAAGCATCTGGATGCAGGGCATGGTAGGCAGTGGGTGCGGGCAGAGACAGTTCAAGGACCTGGACGCCTCAGGGTCATTGGGACAACACAGTCACAAGGATTGAAATAGGGACAAAGGGCTGTCGGAAAATAGTACTTAGAGAAAGTGTAGATGGGCAAACCATGGTTTGTGACGTTATAGAAAGACACGGTGCCAGCCTCATAGTCCAAGTAAACCCCAATGCGGCGGGGCGGCACAGTCATGGAGAGGAGCAGGGAGCTGGCAGAGTCCTCATACGCCCTGTATTCACGTTTGTGCTGTAGGCCGATCACCCAGTACCCGGTCTGTGGCTGGTATCTAGAGTAAGTGTTCTGACCATTAGGGTAGCGGCTGCAAGCAGATGGAGGGTCCATGGAGCTGCTGCACACACCCAAGATCCAGGCCATCTTCTTGGTCACATCCACCTCCCAGTAGAACTTTCCTGAGGAGAAGCGCTGAGAGCCCAACACACTACAGTCAAAGTGCTCTTCCAGACAGGAGGGTCCGGCCAGCTTAGCACCCACAAATCTCACCTGCCTCCGGTTCTTAGACAGCACAAGATTTAAATTAGCAGAGTGTGGATCCATAGTCACATCCACTGTAGGAAAAGATACAACATTAGATGGAAACCATGGACACAAGTGACCTGGCACAGTGAGGTGGTGAAGAGACACAGGAAGTGGAAGTCGTGGGGAGAATGAGCGAGGCATAAGGCAGGGGAAGCAGCACCACCTAAACCTTAGAGAATGTGTGGGTGCTTTTGGAGAGGAGTGACAGAAGGGGAAGAGACAAATCAGCTCAGAGGCCATGGTTTCCACTCACCCCAGTAACTCTGGACATCTGTGAGCTCTGTAACAAAGAGTAAAAACCGTTGACTAGAACCAGTGTCTCAGGTTTGGGATCGCCCTCCTCACCAGACTGAATAGAATGGCAAGGATTTGAGAATATGATCTGGTAACTGTACCTTTCCTTCAAGACAACTGCACCTTCTTGAGCACACTACGTCCTTCCCCTACAGTGTCCCTTATCACCTCTGTTCTCAAATAACAGCTTTACTCTCGACCTGATTTGTTTTTTACTAGTACAACAATTATATATCCAGACTTTCCCTGAAGTGCCTTACCTCGAAACACTTGCAGCATCTTTTTCAGATCTGGGGCTCGAAAGGCACTTCTCAGCTTGGTGGGGAGTGCTTGGAACTTCTTCAGGGTCCAGAATTCACTCCTGAAGAGAACAGACCCTTTAAGTCCCACACCACAACTGTGGGTTCCTCCAACACCCACCTCCTTCACTTCCCTGGTCCACTGTGAACTGCAACGCTCTTTCCTAAGAAACTAGCTTCTCGCCATCTTTAAGCCTCAGTAAGGTTTCATCTCTTACAGCCTCATTTTCTATTTATCTGTTGTTAGTTTTTACAAAATACAATCATTTCCGGGCCAGGGAGATGGCTCAGTAGAATAAGAGCTTGCCTAGCAAGTACAAGGTCCTGAATTTGATCCCTGGTACCATCAAAACAAAACAAAATACAGGCAAAGAACATACATGTGAAAAAAAAAAAAAAAGAATATCCATGTGGGGCTGGGGAGATAGCTCAGCGGTCTAAGCCCCTGCCTGGCAAATGTAGAGACCCAAGTTCAATCCCTGGTACCACATGCTGTGCTGGCCCTGCAACTGCGCATGGTGGGACACCCCTGTAATTCCAGCACTGAAGAGGCTGAGACAGGAGGATCACTATGAGTCTGAGCTGTGTAGTGAGACCCTGTATCCACTAAATACATAAATAAAAAATAAACAACAAAAAAGAAACTTACTGAAGAAATTATACATTAAAAAAAATAAAGACAAAAACAAAACAAAACAAAAAACGAACATTCAAGTGTATACTGAGGTAGAGATCCAGAGCTGAAAACAGGTAGAAGACTGTGGAAATGGGGCCATGTGACAGGGCACAATGCAGGTCACTGACACCACAATCATTTATACCACTGACCCTTCATCCAAATTCTCCTAGTGGAAGCTAGTGTACTTCCTTTAGATAAGATCCCCAAATTCTCTTGTGATGAGCACTGTGATACCGGAGTCTGTTCCATGATTTTTTTCCCTTTCCCATTAACGACCTAAAACACTACCCCACACTTTCTTACACATACCTTTGTGTGAGCTCATTCACATCCTAGGGAAGAAAAAGACAGGTTAAATCAGGGAGTAATAGGTCATCTCATCCCATTTCTGCCACCCAAGAGACAACAGTGATATAGAATAAATAACTCAAATGTGAAGGTCATCAAGGAAAGCAAAGAGCAGGGCAGATTGTCCCTGAAAACCCATGGGAGCCCATCAGTTCCTGGTGTCTTTATTTTTTATAACTGCATGAGCAGTGTTACTTATTCGTATCATTGGTTTCTTTCTTTTTTTTGGTGGAACCGGGGATTGAACTCGGGCCATTGTGCTTGCCAGGGAAGCGCTTATTCCACTGAGCCATCTCCCCAGCCCCCAATATCACTGGTTTCTTGCCATACATTGTGCCTGGGCATGGTCAATGGTGACAGGGTATCAGGTTCTGTCTTTGAGAAGCTTACATTTTAGTCAGGTAGCTGAAAGTATTAAAGCACACAGGCTTAACATATGGCTGTCCCTTAAGTTCAGCTCCTCTAACCCTCTACCTTACCATTAATTTACATGGATTCTTCGTTTTCAGAAAGTGTGGGTGGTGGCACATGCCTATAATCCCAGCACTCAAGAAGCTGAGGCAGGATCATTGAGTTCAAGACCAGCCTGGGCTATAAAATGAGCTTGAGGCCAGCCTGAACTGCATAGCTGTCTCAAAATGACATAATAATTAGTTAAAAAATAAATAAAAAAGAGAGAGCTGAGGGTGCTCTCTCTCGATTCAGATTTAAAATGTCCTGTAAATGTAACACAGGCATTCAAACTTAAGATATCTGGGGGCTGGGGGGTACTGGTAATCAAACTCAGGAACTCATGTTTGCCAGGCAGGTGCTGAACCACTGAGCTAAATCCCTGGCCAATTCAAGAATATTCTGAAGAAAATTTAGGGTTCACATCTCCATCCTCTTGAAGGACACTAGCATCCACTTCAAAATCTCGACAAATCACTACATAAAAATTACTGTAGTCACATGCCAGCCCATCTTTCATCAAGCCAGTTCACTTCCCACTCTTAGCTTCCTTCAGCCACCTGCTAGTCACCTTTACCACCCCCACTGCCAGGTTCAGTAAAACCACCCACTTGCCTTCCACGGGGCTTTCCGACTTCTGCTCTGTACCCCTCTACCAGCTTGAAACAAGATTGACACTTGGATCCCACAGGGATAACGATATTAGTGTATTGGGATTATTTTGGGCTATATTTCTCAGCCTGCAACTGGAACTGACTTTTGGATAGAAAGCAGTGGGGGTGTTGGTGTATTGGTTCATACCAAGTAGCAGAGCCATACCCATCTTACGTCCTGGCCAAGGGCCCTCACGATCCAATCAGTGTGCCACCTCCTGGCTCTTTCTCTTTGGTTTGATTTTCAGTGCCCACATTCTGAAGCTTCTACCTTAGCTACCATATTGTCTACACCATGTAACAAGGGTATGGAAAGGTGAAGCAAGACATCTGGGATTGGAGAATTGTGGAGAATTGATTCAATTGTGAGATAATGATTTCACATGTATTCCGGCTATTAATCTGAGTGTAGGATAAGTAACTGTACAAGGACATGAGATAAATAAATGAATCTGATGCTGACCATAAAACAGTGAGGAAGGTTGAGGGCAAGAGGGAAGAAAAAAGAACTGAGATGTGTTAGGCACAATACCAATCCCCCAATGCATGTAATCACTGATGGCAGACTTGTGCTAATAAGACAAAATGCAGAAATGCCACCGCAGTCTTACTAATACGGCAAGGTACTTGAACCAGCATAACACACAGATAGTTCCTCTGCATTTAAGGTAAAATGTTCATAGATTGAGGAGTCTATGGAGGAGCTAGAACAAAGGAGTGAAGGAGAAAATATTAGAGTAAACTAATATCAAAAATGGTCAGCCAGAATAAAATGAAATAATGAATGAGAAAAAACGAACAGGTGGACAGTTACAACTGCATGCTTCCAATGCTAGCACCCCAGTATAAGCAAAGAAGAAAGCACCCCATCAGCGTAGGAAGCATAGCAGAAAGGCAGAGGCGAAGAGAAAACAAGAAACAGCCCAAAGGCTCCATGATATTCCAAAGTGCAACACACTGAGTTTGTAGTCACATTCAACACAGAAAATATCTGTTCAAGCTCCACCCTTAGTTCACGTTTCTTGTTCAGATCTCCCTAGACTTGATTATTTTGCACCCTTCTCAACCACACACACACACCCCAAGCCCAGCCCCCCAGCACCTGGTGAAACACCAGTAACTACAACATATTAAATGATTCTGTCCCAGAGAAGACAGTGATAACAAAGATGGGCTGACACTTACTTTTTAAGAATCTGCATTTGACATGTTTTCCTGTGACTGCTGTGAACAAAGAGCCCATGAAAACCTGCAGCACAGCAATACAGACAAGCGGTACCCAATGGGCAGTGGGTCTCAGCTGGGGCAGGGATTGAGACACTTCCCCTGGGCATGCACGGCAATGTCAGCTGGGGTTTCATGGTCATGTGTGGCTGGAATGGTCCTTCTGAGATTAAATGGAGACTAGGGATGTTGCTAAATATCCTCCCAGTGGGGCTGGAGAGATGGCTCAGTGGTCTAAAGCACCTACTTAGAACAAGCTTGGCAAAGCATCAGGGACCGCGGTTCGATCCCCCAGCACCACATGCC